CCAAGAGAACATGACAAAGTCCTGAAAACATGAACACAAGGACTGCAAAATAATCCATACAAGCAAAGGCAAACTTCTTGGTAAAACACAAAGTTGCTTTGACAAAGATTTGGTCTCAATCACACTGCTTAATACCCTTTGCAAAACATGAAGGCGATTCTCTGGCCTCCGGCCTCCGGCCTCCTTCCTGTTAGCTATTCTCATACTCCTTCAAACTCTGAATTCCAAACAGTCAGCATGATCTAAGGTTCCCATTTCATCAAGGTCAGTCTGTCCCTTAGTGTCAGCCTGTTTCCCTGCTTGCTCGTTATCATTATCAGGCTGAGAACTGTCCTCCTTCTCTGAGTCAATCTGCACCTGCACCTGGCTATTTTCAGTGTCAACACTTTCATTCCTTGGTGTGGGAAACTGCACTTCTTCACTGTCTATAACAGGGACATTTTGAACCAGGCTGTGAACCTGAGTCCCATCATCCTTATCAGAAACACTCTGTGGTTCCAGCTTAGTCACAACAGGCGGGAATTTTTCCCACCAGTTGGCCAGTTGGTCAACCAGCAGCCGGCCCTACCCTGCCATCCAATTGGCCAGGGCTGGGCTCTTCCTTTGCCCAGTAGCCCTTATAGGGCTGCCGTGGGCACTTGCAGGCACAGTGCCTGCTTCAGCTTGCCATCCCACCCAAATGATGAAGGGTCTGTTGTTATCATTGGTTTGGTTATTGTTTGCTCATTACAACTTTGATTGGCGTGTGGCATGGGCCCTGGATCTGGCTTTCTTCCCCCTGTCTAGCGGAAGGGAGGGAACATCCAGTGCTTCCCAAGGGTGCCAAGTAACGCAGCCCGGTATTGTGCTGGTGGCACCCTAACATGTATCTGTTCTGCTACAGCTGTACCAGAAGCTCCAACATTATTTGCTTTGTATTAAATGTTTGGTTGCAGTCCTGGGTTTCAGGGATTCTGCAGATAGGTGGTTTCTTTTGGTTGCAGTCACAGGGCAAGTCACCTGTCCATCATTGTTAAGTTTTGGTCCCGCCCCTTGCTCAGGGCAATTGGGAAGAGAAGGGAGCCATTTTTAGTTAGTCTCAGCAAGGAAAACTAATGTACAGGACGTGTGCAAGCTTCCCCTGTACAAAAGCTTCAACCCTTAAAACTTTCCACGAAAACAGCCCCAAAGACCAAAGAACTCCAGCTGGAGAGTCTACTGCCTTACTGGTAGGTCCACTCGGCGTTTGAGACGCAGTTCAACCCGGTAGCGGAGCCCACATCAGTAAGGGTTAGATTACAGTCAGCCTGGGAGAAGTTAAAAAGGGGATTTTCCTTTAAAGAAGAAGTTATTGAAGACAGTTGCCTGTCCTTCGTGGGCAAGATTAGGAATTCACCAGTTGCCTAAAAGCTTGGAATCATTTGCTTAACTTTACTGAAGACAAGAGAAGTTTCTGTTTGATTGTTCATTAATAAAAGACTTTGTTGTACTTCAAAAGCCATCTAAAGACTATTTGTGGTAAAACCTCTGAGAACTTCTCTTTAGGCCCCCTGGCTTCCCGCTGGGCAAAGGTTCCATGTCCTGTTCTAAAGGAAATTCTTTACAGGCCCAGCATGCGACAGAACAGTATCGGTCAGCAGCGAGCTGACCAATCATGATCCAGAACCCATGTCTGGCAGCCAACCCCTCTGTTCCTGTAATCAATAAACAAATTGTGGCCATTTTTCTTCCCAGCTTGGTGTCTTTGTCATCTTTGGTTTCTGTTGGCGGGAGGGGTGTCACCCATCCACACGCAACTGAAACGATTTCATGATGAATCGCGGTAGCGTTCAAGCCCTTAGCATTTCGGTAGCGTATTACAGTGCAAACTTTGCACTTGGAGGGAAAAGGAACGAGGACACTGATCTCTAACCTTCACCACAATGCCAGTCGATGAGCTACTGACGACTGGCATTGCTCATTCACTTCCACTGGCTTCCCACTACATGGCAGTGATACCAACTTCCCCATGAAAATTCCCTTGCCACCTTATTTTCTAGATAACCCTCGTATGATTTGAAACAGCTTCTATGTTTCCATGTTTCCTTTCCTCCTTTTGGATCTTAAAATGCCATGCATGTGCATTGTTTTCCACTGAGGACAACACAGGTTGGAGAACGGGAGAGAAAAAGACG